GAATTTTATTTTAACTATATCTTTTTTCGTTTTGTAGGATTGCAATTTATTAATCTTTCAAGCGTGTTGGTTCAAAGTCACATTATTATCTCCACAAGAGGCGATAACAAACTTAAATGAAAATTTTAATCCATATCAGAGGACTTTATTTAAGAGTACATGCTTTCGTACCTTCATTAGTTTGAAGGAAATAGTATTGTAAGCACAATTGATACACCAATGGATGTTTAGACAAGTCAAGCAACCCAATTCAAATGAAATGTAGTTCAACATCTATGACAAATTTGTGAGATTTTCAATTGAAGAATTCTGTTTGTTATTAAAGCTTAAATGTACTGGAAATTGTGACTTTACTTTATATAGAATGAAGAGTTGTTTGAAATAATAGTACTTCAAAGATCACCAAATCATCTCAACAAAAGTGGTCCAGAAAGTGTTTTTAAATTTGTCTGCTGACACTGTAGATAAAGATGTCATTGATATAGGCATAGTTTATTTGATTACATTCTTCCTTTTTGGTACATCGTATCATAAGGGAGTTGATGATTCATTTTCTTATTGTGGAGTATGAGGAGTTGAATTCTTTTCCATGGGATATTGAAATTTTTAGTATGACTTTATCATCCCTAAAGCGTGCATTTAATTAGAGAATGAAGAATATTTTTATGGAAAAGAAGTTTTTAGAGTATGGGTTGAATGGATTCTTCCCTGCTTTTCAAGTATGTATTTATGAAACTATCGCTGCTATTGTTCGGAAGAATTACTACATTAAACATAAACCTTAGCGTCCTCGAATGTTGAATTGGAGTTGTAAACAACATGTGACATCTGTGTGTTTAAGGAGGACCACTTTTATTTGATTAAAGTAAGTTTTATTTACTTTTATTATTTATTTTATGTCTTTAGTTTTTTTTTTTTTTGTCATTTATAAAATTATGTATTTTTCAGTTGGAAGTAAATCGAATTGTGTCTCTTGAGGCAGAAAATGAAGAAAAATGTGCAATTGGTTTATTTGTTAACGGTTTGGGGGTTGACCAGGATGTTTTGGATTTTGAGCATTCTGTTGTTCAACAGAAAAAGTTACTGGATGGAGGAAAAGCAAAATTTGTTGACTGAGCTGGAAGGTCTATAGAAAAGAAAAACAAAGGGAAGAATGATGAGGTTTATGGGCATTTTTTCTTTTTACTATTTCTTTTTCATTTCAATTTATCGTTTTTATTATTTTGTAGTCTTTTCATCAAGTCCAGCAATCGAATAAAGAACTTTTAAGATGGCTTTCCGAGGTTGAACTAAAAGTTGTTCAATCAAATGATCTGATTTTAAAACATATTTTAGATTTTGAAGTTAAAATTCAGTCGAACCCAGTTGAGGACCATCTAAAGGATGTTGAAAAATGATTAAAATGAATGAAGAAGCAATAGAGCGTCTACAAAATTTGGAACGCAAAGTAGACAAGATGCTAGCNCGTCTACAAAATTTGGAACGCAAAGTAGACAAGATGCTAGCTAGTAATGAAGAACCAATGACAGTATTCAAGAGTTTTCGAGTTTAAAATGCTGGTGACTTTTTGTTGAGTTTTCATCACTTTTTTAATTTATTGTCGCTTTGTGAGTATATTTATGACTTTTTCGTATATCTTGTAACTTTTTTTGTAAGATGATGTGGAGAGTTTACCTGATGAAATAGACCAGGTGTTTAATGACTTTCCTAATTTTTCTTTAGACATTGAGTTTGAAATGAGTGGTGGGGAAAAAGATGTTGAGATGCCTATCAGAAAAAGTGACAAGTCAGTTGAAAAAAGTGACAAAACAGTGAAAAAATGTAACAAGGAAATGAATTTATTTGATGATCGTAAATAGTCGAAAAGTGATGAGAAGCTAGTGCCTTGCTTATCAATTATTATAAAAGTTGATCTGGCTTCAATTGAACTTTTGGTTACCACATCTTGTTGGGATTTCAATATTATGGAGAGTGCACACTAAGTGTTTGACAAAATAGTTAGCTTGGATTTAACTTATTTAAGGAACTTTTGATCATCTCTATTATTCGAGGCGAGGAAATAAGTCCTTGCACATCTAGGCTTGCTCATGAATTTCTTATTATTGAAGGCAAGCCCCAACTCATGATCTTTTTATTATTATTGTTGAAGGCAAGCTCTAGCTCGTAGATTTCTTATTATCATTGACCGCATTTGGAGTCCTTTCATTTTATAAGACTCCTATAGTTCAAGAGCAATTCGCATGATGTTTATTCCCCGCCACGTCAGATGCTTATCCATGGTTGGAGACATCGTTCCTTGAATAAAGGAAGATGCATTATCTCGAAGTCCTTATTCTTTGAATAGAAGAAGAGGCATTATTTTTCAAAGTCCTCATTCCTTGAATAAAAGAAGATGCAACATTATCTTGGAGTCATCATTCAGGAAACAAAGTTCACAATATAAAAAATAAATTTGCATAAGTTCATTAAAAATATAAATAAATATGCCTCATATTGAGAAAACTCAAAGGAGAAGCCTCTTCATAGACAACTCGTCCCTTTGAAGAGATGCGTGGGCACTTCGACGAGGAGTTGGATCCCAAAGAGGACCACATCTGTACTTGGCACATGCCTTTAACAGCTAAACCTGTTAGGGAAGCCTCAGCATGGGCGAACCACTCAACCACGTGCTCAAGAAAAGGATAAAAGGTAAATGAATTGTCTATACTTGTGCAAATTATAAACAAAGCCAGACTAAAGACTAAAGTGCTAAAGAGCCTCAGTTCATAAACATTGATGTGCTTAAGATCAGAAACCTATTAAGGTACACGACCTTCTAACACATGCAAAATTGCAAGCTTAATTATGTTATTGAGGTTCAATATGCATAAGTTCGACATTATTATCAGTTCCATGTTATTATAAGTTTAATGTCACTACATGTCTGATGTTATTATAAATCTGATGTAACTATAAGTTTGATTATTATTGAAGTAGAGTAGGTTCGAATTACACTGAAAAGTATGGCAATACATTAAACAAAAACAATAATTACGAAAAGTAAATAACACCGGCACTTGAGCTAAAAGAATTTTATTTATTTAACAAATAGTTGACTCGGACTTGAGGGACTATTGTAATACTAGTATTTTAGTATCATTACATTATTACTGCTAGTATATGTACTATATTATTGATGTCGAGTACGTACTTTACATCACTGCTAACAGGTTATGACACATATTATATCTCGGAGAAATTTGATATGTCATTATTTACTTTATAGTCATGAGTAATTTAAGGGGTAAATGGACCCCAAATTTGTTTGGTATATGTGCCGTAGATATAATGTATTGTATTACAGGATTGATTTAGCCCATATTACAGAGGAGGTGCTGCCGAAATTTCGACAAATTATATGCGACATCTTACGAGGCAATTCCTAAACCCTCGCTTATTCAGGCAGCACGCATATTTTCTAAAGGCGGTTCGTAAGTCATGTCGTCCTGATTTACAGAGCTACTTATATTTCTGAGGCAATTTGCAAGACCTCACCTATCGACACCTTACATTTCGAAGTCCAACCCGTACATGAATATACGACTTAGACTTGGAGGACTATTGTTAATACCCATAAAATATCTCATATTGGGCTTGGGTCCGGGCCCACTTGGCAGATTTTCACTTCTATATATATGCGATTCATTTCATAACAAATGAGAGGTCCACGTGAAGGGACGTGACAAGAATTCTATTGGCTCATTTTTTGGGGTCAAGAGTTAATTCCAGGTGATTGAGTCAAATTTGAGTTACTTTCCGAGTTTGGTTGTCACTATGTAATTAATACTTTCCTGCTCTGAATTTATTGATAGATTAGACTTTTCAAATTTTTTAGTTTAAATTTTCAAGAAAATCATATTACAATCTGCATTCCATATTTAAATGAATAATTAAATCTCCTTTTATATTGTAATTCCAATGCAAAATGAATTGTATGTCAAAGGACAAATTTAATGAAAGTATAAATTTCTATAATTTGAAGTATAAACATAATGTTTCCTAAATTCTATCGATGTTGTCAATGAATCCGCCTTTAGATTGAATGGAATAAGTGATTCTTAATTATTTGCAGTGTTACCAAGTAGAAAAATATTTCAATGTACAAATTTCAAGGATGCGCCACTGTGTTTTGCTACATTGTTCTCCTTAAAAAAATTTCACCTCTTCAATTCAGGAAATAATTTTAATTAAATTATAAATCTAGCTGTAATAAGGAAAAATAAATTTTATTTCACTATAAAATTTTTGTACCCGATAATTCTCAATTAATGAGTAGGGACAACCTTGTATGAAAAAAAAATGTGGGACCAAAAGTGGATCCCAGTCAAAATTGTCCGCACCCACGCCACACCAAATGTGCCGTGTGAGGAACCTTTTCTCACGTTTGCCTTAATTTGGACATCCACCTTGGACTTCATTCTTTTGAACTCTAACGTACGATGACGTGGCATCCAAATTCACTGCCACGTCACTCTGAAATAAATGTTCAATTTTGCCTTAATTTATGCAGAGATGCGGGTTGCAGAAATTTGAAAATATAATAATGCAGTTCCTGAAACAAGATTTTGTATTTATTATAACATATTTATATCTTAACAAAGTTTGATTAACATTTACCTAATCACTGTATCAAAATTTTCCAAATTCACTAAATTTTAGCTGTACACTCAGAATTGTATTCCCTTTACATTTTTTATTGTCTCTATCTACAACCAAATTCTTAAATAAATACTATAGAACCCATTCACTCTCTCCATACTTACCACCTCTTTTCTACATTGCACGCTTAATCTGCTTCAAATAAATAAAAATCTGATGGCCATTGAAAACAAACAACTGAATTTCGTACCTTCGCAAGTTGTCCCTCAAAGGTATATTGCTTTCAAGTTTAATGAATCCTAGTTGTTTGTATTAATTTCTTTTTTCTGATATTTACAAGTTAATTATATTTCAGAGGTTTGATGAATTCTTCAAATCAAGGTGGCAGCGCTTTAGCGTATATGCTACAGAAGGGTTCAGCGCGCGTTCCGGCTATAGTAAAACGAACCAGAGATTCAATGGATGGGTTCTACGCCACATCGAATTTCACCGCACCGCAGAAGGTGATGATGAATAATCAGTTCCCATCAATCGCCGGCGATGGTGTCAGCAACTTTTTTAGTCAAGTCCAGAATTACCAGTTGGACATCGATAGCATCTTATCTCAACATGTAAGGCTTTATTTTGATAATTTATGTTACGGAAAATTATTTACTACTTTTTAATTCGCAGACAAAGAAGATAAAAATAGAATTGGAAAGGAGCCAAAACCATCATGCCAGAATGGTTGTAGCAGCAATAAGAGAAGGTGTAATGAAGAAACTGAACGAAAAGGATGAACATATTCAGAGAATGGACAGGTTCAACTCAGTTCTTCAAGAAAGATTGAAATGTTTGTTTGTCGAAAATCAAATGTACAAAAACTTGGCAGAGACAAATGAGGCAATGGCCAATTCTTTGCGTGCCCACATGGAAGAAATCCTAAGGAATGTTAACAAGCAGCCTCCCTCAGACGGCGATGGTGGCCGAAGGGCCGTGGTAGAGGATGCCGAGTCGTGTTGCGGCAGTAACGCGTGCGAGAGGGAGAGGAAATTGGCGGAGAAAGAAAGCAAGATGTGCAACAAGTGCAGGAAAAAGGAGTCGTGTGTGTTGTTGCTACCGTGCCGACACCTCTGCCTGTGTGAGGTGTGCGGCGGTGGTTCCAATCAACTAAAAGAGTGCCTAGTATGCAACACTTATACGAGTGCAACATTGCATGTTAACATGTCGTTTTAACATATTTTCGTCCTACAAAAAAAATATATTAATTAGATGGGCAGAAAAGAAAAAGTTGTAGCAAAAAGTAATTTCTAGGATAAATTTCAAGGAAAGTTACCGTTTATTCTTGCCATTGATAATTTATATCTTTTATTTACAGATTTATTTTAATCACCTTTATTAAGATTATAAAATTGCCATTTTTTTATCACTTGATAGGCAATAAGAAGTGTGCTATTCAACATTAGTTACCAATTTAGGTGACAACTACATAATATTAAATAATATATTCATTTAAATACAATGTCACGTGGTTCATTTATTTGAACATATGACGTGTTACCACAAAGATTGGTGTTAAATAGTATTGTTCAAACAAAATCATTAATTTTTTTTGTAGAATCGAATCAAAATGCTCGATTTGGTTTGGTTTGGTTAGGTTTGGTCTGATGTGATCATTTTGTCCACCATAGGAATATTGTCCGATATTTGTTTGATTGTGAAAAAACATTTTCAATGCAGTAACGTCTTCCCACTGGAGAATACAAGGTGGAATTGTTTGATGGGGAAGATTTTGATATTCGCTCTTACTTATTTACCGTCAAATTTGTAAATGAATTGAAGCTCTCCAAGCTGAATGATTACTCGAGGGGGAATATGTCATATGTTCATTGCGACATATTACAAGGGATAGATTTGGTAATGAAGGATAATCCTTCGAAGAACATGTCGCAATGCGGAAGATGAATTATTCAGAAATTTTAAAAAAATTAATTCAATAAATAATATCATCTAGATGTTTACGTGTATGTTATATCAAGAATTACGGATTCAAATTTTTACCTAAATTCGATGATCAGTTCTTTGAATTAATTCTGAATCGCGAACTTCCAACATTTTGAATCACGAGCTTTCAGTCTTTTAATTCCAAGAACTTGATACTTCAAATCTCCAAATCTTTTATGTTATTCTCCAAAGTCAAGACTATATCGATGGGTGGGTACCTTCCTTTAATTAAATCAAGAAACTAATTTTTTGATTGGATAATAAGAAAATATAATTTTTCTTACTTTTTCTCTTTCTTCAAATTTGAACACTATGAAATTATGTATTAAGATTGTTTTAGGATTTTTATGTTCATCTAGTCTCTATTTATAGAGATAAAGATGTTCAAATCCATGTAGAATAATAATTCTAGTTTTAAATAAATGTCTTAATTAAAATTCAATATGGGTTTTAATTAAAGTTCACATCCAATTAGTTTTAATTATGTTTAGTCTTAAAATTTCAATTTCAATTATAATTAAGTTTAGAACTTTATAGCAATTACAATTAGGCCCTGTTTGATTGGGCAGATTTTCCAGGGAAGATTGAAATTTTTTTCCACTTTTCCATTTTTTAAGCTGTTTGATAGCAAAAAATTCTAGGGCAACTTATTTTCCCAATTTGCTGCACGAGACCACCAATTCCAGGAAAATAAGGAAATAAATGATTTTCCAATTTTCTTGCACGTGACCTCCAATTCCATGAAAATAAGGAATTCGTTTTCCCACATCACAGCTGGTTTTTTATTTTCTTGGCAAGCTGGAAAATTGGCATCAACCCACCATGGAGCCGGCACCTTTCTACTCCAAAATTCAACCACTGTACTGTCGGGCAAACCACCGGATTTCCATACCATCATCATCTCCTTATCCCACTCTTCAATTTCATACTAAAAACCGGACATAATAGTTCAAAATCACCGAAAATTCAGCCGAAAAATTATGCCTTCACTCACGGTTTCAACACCCATTCCGGCCAACCCTCCAACACCCATGGCCATACTCCATTACAGGCTCCTAATACTCATCAAGATGAGCAGTTTTATGGTCTCATATCATCAAGAAAATATGTATAATGTTTTGCATCTCTTACCAGTTCGAAAATGGCCGAATCGCAGATAGTGCAGACAAATTCCGGCCCCGACGTTGAGTATCTCGGTCACGCACCACCACCATTACCTCCTATTCAGTATGGCAGACAACATATACGTATGGGTCTTCATCAATTTAACTTGAATTCAAAAAATCATTGAATTGCAAAAAGAAAAAAAGGTTGCCAAAAAACTGTTGAAATCTTGAAGATCTTTCGGTTGGTCACCACCTACACAGAAGAAAATGGAAATGGGAGGATTCAAGGATGGTGAAGAAAATGGAAATGGGAGGAATTGATGTTTTTATTTTGGTTTAATTGAAGTTGCCGTGGAAATTGACTCAATGATGTTGAAGAAAACGAAAAGGGGAGGATACCATTTCTAGGGAAAACAAAACCAATCAAACACCACCTCAATATATTTTCCAACTGGAAAATTACGTCAATCAAACGCAACTAATTGATATTTCCTTGGAAAATAAGTTCTTGGCAATTATTTTCCCTACAATTCGTTTTCTTTCCACCCTATTTTCCATCTTGTAATCAAACGGACCCTTAAGTACAAAACTATATTGTAATTATAATTAAGTTCGAAGCTTTTATAATTACCGTAATTAAGTCACAATACTTTATAGAGTTACCACATGGACCTGATCAGACATATATTATCCAAACTAAAATAATTATCAATTTTTGTTTTTCATTAAAAGCAAAAGATTGAACTCTTGGAATATATAAGATCACAGAAGTCAATAAATTTGTAATACTTTCCTCTGACCGGTCGTATATGTATTTTATCTCCGTTCGAGATTCGATAATTGGGTACAAGTATAAATGACTTTTTTGCCCCTCTAATTATTCTCACTAACTTAAGTTTCACTTTTTTCGACGGTTCTATAAAATAATCAAGATATTGAAATTTGGATATCGCTAAATACTGAGATCATATTTTAACGTTCAACAAAAAATACTAAGTAGTCATTCTACCAATTTTTCAGGGCGACAGTTCCCAATACGAATTCATGTTCTCTACTTCCCTCATTTTCAAGTTCCCAACTCACTGAAATATTTGATCAATCAAATTGATCTCACCCATTGGTGAATCAAAGAACCATTAAAATCACGAAAAGATATATATAACCCTATCAAGGGATTTAGATGAAATACACGACGATCAAGTGGAATTTAATTTTCCGCACGATCATACTATAGAATTAAACTCGACATATTGTTCGTTCAATACACTCCAAGTATACTAGTGTCAGTTTTAACTATTTCTGTGATAAGGACAAATAACAAACCCGAATAGTGAATTGGTCAACACTGAACCTTCTAGTACAATGTGACAACCCTTATACATTGGTTGTGAATAAATTATTTATGATCAAAACATAAGTTGTGTCCAATGTACTTCTCAATACAAGTACCCAATTTATATTACCACAATTGATCATAAACATTTTAATTCGCATGCTCAATAATAAATAAATGCAATAACTAAATAAAACTACAATTTATTTATTATAAATTATTATTTTATCATAGCGAAATATACTATATGGAAACACAACTCAACAAAACAGAATATCTATTCGTCGAAGCTCTTACTCCCCAAATTAAAGAGCTGCATCCCAAGGTCTTACATTGTGCTTAGACTATGTTTTAACATTTCGTAAACCATTGCCAGTACCAGAGTTTCTCAAAGAGCATGTTCGAGGGCACAATAGAGTAAACGATGTCATAAAGTTGAGGCAACATGTGACTGGTGCATATTAGCGAATATACTATATGGACACGCAATCCAACAAAACAAAATCTTTGTTCGTCAAAGCTTTTACTCCCCAAATCAAAGAGCTGTATCCCAAGGTCTTGCATTGTGCTTAGACTATGTTTTGACATTTTATAAGCCATTGCCAGTACTAGAGTTTCTTTAAGAACATGTTCGAAGGTAAAATAGAGTAAACGATGTCATAAAGTTGAGGCAACAAGTGACTGGTGCATACATTGAAATGATTGAAAGTAGGAGTTACTCATAGATTCATGAAACAGAAATAAACTATTACAGGGTTGACTACGTCAAATGCCCTTGGCATTTCCTTTACATTCGATAATCCTGATGGCATAAGTCTTCCCACAGAAATCGACCTATTCGATTATTTCATGGATAAGTAGGGAAATAATATTGTGTATAAGGACATTCCTTGCTTGGATATTTCGAAAAAAAACTGGCCAAATTATATGCCTATGGAATTTTGTCTTAGTTGAGGGGCAGAGATACCCTAAGGAACAATTGGAATGTTTGGATAGAGATGCATATATGTTCTTGTTGACAGGAAAGTTGAATCTTGTAAGATAATTGAATATATGAGTATCCATTAGGATTTGTATTATTATAGGAAAATATATTTGGGTATAAAACTTTATAAGATAGCTGATATAGTTGATCTTCTTCTCAAATATAGCTTAGTATTGAAATGTATATAAATCCATGTATCTTGTATATTGAAATATATAGAAATTATTCTGCAGTACATTGTTCATTTTCATGGTATCAGAGCGTTTTCCTAGTAGCTCTTGAAACCTATTACCTTCCACTAAAACTACGTCATGAAAGAAACCATGACTACAGAAACATCAATAGACACCGATAAATCGAATCTCTATTCTCTACATCATTAGGATCATTCGAGCATTATTCTTGTCTCCAAACTGCTTGAATGAGATAAATACAACACATGGATTCGTGCTATGTGCATTTGGTTTGAGTGCTAAAAATAAAATCGAATTTGTAACAGGTTCTATGAAATCGTGTCCTTCGACAGATGCAAGTTTCGAGTCATGGAAACAGTGCAATGATATGGTCTTGTCATGGGTATTGAACTCTGTTAATCCAGACATAGCAAGTAGTGTCATATATGCTGAAACTATCGCAGAGGTTTAGGCTGAGCTACAAGAACGTTTCTCTCAAGGGAATAACTCAAGGATTTATCAAATCAAGCGAGAAATCGCATAACATAGATAGGGGCAGCAATCTATTTCTGTATACTATACCAAACTTAAGGCTTTTTAGGATGAGCTTTCATCCTATAATGACACTCTAACCT